CTCTCTCTCTCTCTCTGTGTCACAGGCTGATAGCTAAAAGAAGCCAAAAACCCAAACCCAGCACAGACAGCATGGCTCCACAGCATACACAGATAAATAGTGAAGCATGCTGGGCTGCTGGTGAATGGGCCATGTCATAAGACTGACTTCTGAATCCAGAGAGGCACAGAGCCGCTGGCACTGGATGAGGCGGGCTTCATGTCACACCCCACTCCTCTGTGGATGCGTCAAAACCTGTGGAGGTGCCTACAAAGTGCATATTCAATAGCAATACAGACACACACACTCAAGACACTCAAGCACATGTACGTGCACTCGGGTACGCACAAATACACATTCACACGCTCTCACAGTCCCTCTCTCTCTCTTGCCCTGTGTGTCCTCCTTTGCTCTCTCTCACTCCCCCTGTGAAGAGGGGCCCAACTTCAGTCTCATTAGCTTTATAAAGAGATGTGGAGAGAAAAGGAGAAGGAGGAGGAGAGGGGAGGGGGAGACGGGAGAAAAAAAGAGGCTCGGGGGTCAGATTGGTGAGTGATGAATAGGGTATTACACAGCGGACTGCACCACTTAGGCCGTAAAAGGGGTGTATAAAGTGTAAGACTACATTGCAGAGCCAGATGTTGTAAGTGTAAGCATGTGGAGTGTAAACATTAAGAGATTATTCACTAAGCCACTGCATGGCTCAGAAAACACTCTATTGCCTTTGGCTCTCTGGGATGAAAACAACAGAGAGATATTTCAATTGTAAAACTGTTACCCACATTTTACCCCCTTTTCCTCCTTGTTCCCCTCTTCCTCCCCAGCGTTTTCCCCTCTCTCTGGGAAAGCAGCAGTTTAAGGGGGGAAAAACAAGTGTGTGGAGCCAAGAAACAGGTCTGACCTCAGTTACTGGAATTAAGCAAGGTGCTGTTTTAAAGAGTTTCTAAAGTGTGGGTGTAAGTATACATTTTTCAAGGGTTTTATTCCAAATTACTAAATGTTCAGTCTGGAAAAGAAATGTTAATTGCTTAGCATTTAAGAGGTAAACATAATTAAATTATTTCAAATCTTAAGGTCCAAAGATTGCTAACAGTCTAACTGAAGTCTCTTACAATACGTATTTTATGTCTGCTGTGTAGTCTTATTTTGGAATGAAACTCCTAAAAGGCATGTGAGAACTTGACATGTGCTTGACTAACTGCACATTGTCTAAGGGAGTATGTGGAGACTGTTGTATTATTGGGACTTATCTGGAAGCACGATTTGAATATCAGCTGAACATTTAACATCTATAAGCTGTTATTGTATTCCCCATTAATTTTTTTCTTCAACTATACAGATAATGCAGAGAATATACTGTTAAAAAAATCTAATAAGCATTTGCTACTAAGAAACTAGAAGAACTTGTGAGTGCACAATTGGTCAAAATGTGAATAGGTTGGACAGAGTTTGCTTGAAAAGAAGCTAAGAATTGAGTTTGACTGTTTCAAAACTTGCTGAGCACTCAGATCTGGAGGAGCAACAATGTGGGGGGGTAGAGAGGGAGAGTACCTTACAGCTAAGCTGCCAAGCTTAAGAGCAGCGTACCTAATCACAATAGTGTGCATTACAGTCTATAGCATGTGTGGATGAGAAAGAAAGTTTGTGTTTGAATAGTTGTGTGCGTGTGTGCGTGTGTGTGTGTGGCATATGTGCTTGGAGGCGCTGACTAATGAACTGACTCTCTAACGAGCCATCCTGCTCCACTGGCCTTTTCACAGCTTTCCTGGCATTTGGTCTTAAAAATAATTTCACGTCCCAATGTGTTTCCCTTAAACCGATAAGCCATGCTTTGTCTCCGCTGAATTAAGGACGATGACATTTACAAATGTTACTATGCTGAAGATGGGGGCGTGCAGAATGAGAGGGGGGGATAATTGGAGACCGGGATAGAAGAGGTGGGTGCCTTGCATTTTACAAGGGGCATTTTAATAAACCCAATTTGTTTTACATTGAAGAAAACCTGTCAAGCATTGACTGTTTTGTAGTCCTTGATTTAATAGCTACATAATTGCCGCAAATGCCAAACACTCACAGCATCTGTATGTGCATGCAAGCGTCTATGTGCATGTTTGTGCATGTGTGTGTGTGTTTATCATAAGCCCTTGAGTGTATGATCTGAATACAGTGAAAATGAACCTACTCAGCTTGGTTAGACCTGGTTAGTGGGGCACGGAGCTGCTGTGGCACTTGGCTGTGCCTGACCACTCACATACATAATCTAATATTGTTTTCTCCACCCAGGGCCGAGACAACATGAACACCACTGAACCAGGCTCCAACTTCACCTTTACCTCAAACACAGAAAATGTGACTCTGTCCAACCTGACCACCACCACCATCTCTGCCACCATCTCACAGCCTCCATCTTATTCTTCAGACAACTATGACCCAGAATACACCATCATGGTGGTACTGGGCTTATCACTGCTACTGGCAGGGTTAGCGGCCTTCCTGGCAGTATGCCGGCCCTCGGAACAGGATGGGGAGTCTGAGGCGGGCTGTAGCCCAGGGGAGAGCTTAACCCGCGGAAGAAGCCGGTCCAGTGAGCCACAGCTCAAGGTGTGGAAAAGGCTGGGCTCATATCGGCGTTCATACAACCTCTCTTTCAGACGACCGCCCCATCGCAGGCCACACGAGCGCGAGAGCACACATGTGTCTCGGTCTCCGGCCCGACAGACACCACAGCCAGAAGCCAGTGTGGAGCCCCACCTCACTATGCCTTGTCTATTTGACTATGTCACTGAAATCTGACTTGAGGACAGGCTGAGGCCTGACTGACTACTCCCCAAAACAAGTGATACACTGTATATTTTACAGTTGGTGCTAATACCAGGTGTGGGTGAAGAGTAAAGACAAATAATTTTCAGCATTTGTTTTAACATACTTTGAATGCTACTTGGATATGGTTTGCAACAAAACAATTGTTTAAAAATTATGCACTCAAAAAGTCATTGTAGAAGAGTTTACACATTTTTGTGACTGATCTATTCACCCTCTATAGAAGGCAGCATTGTTGTGCAGGGATGCGCTTTTTCAGCACAGCTCTGTACTATATTCATGAGAGGAAAAAATTATTTCATCTGAAAACAACTCAATTTGATTACAATTCTCTCAGTAAGGATTTGATGCATCATCACATTCCACACAGGACTAAACTGGATCTGATTCGATTACATTAAAATTTTTCCAAGGAGTATAAAAGCAACTAAACAGATAAAGCGAACAGTAACTCAACACACAAAAACCTTATAGCAAGGCACTAGTTCAAAGAATGGCTTCGGTCTTTCTGGTAGTATTTTCCAATCACAAGTGTGAGTACAAGCTCTCTGCTTCACACTGCTTATTGTTCTGATGCAGAAAACCCCATCCACCTGGTAATTCATGAGCATTAAGACAGACACAAGGCATTATTTTATATTATATGATTTCATGCAGGTCTCAAAACATGATGGGTTACCAACAGTGACGAGACAAATGCAACCTGAGCCAAAAAGAGACCACTCTGTACCGGATTCTTTGTGTTTTGTGATTATTACTTTAAGAAATAAAGTTTGACATTTAAGATTTTCCTGCTGAAACTTTTGTTACCAGATGTTTTTAACAGTGTGTGTGTGTGTTTTCTACCTGAAGGATGCTGGTTCCTTGGGGCACGTTCTCCAATATGCTTGTCTCATAGCTGTTTTGTAGGAAGATGGGTCTGTTGTCGTTAACATCCAGCACCTCAACAAATACAGTGGCTGTACCTGTCCTCCGGCTGCCCGCTGGACCGTTGTCTATGTGCAGAAACAGACACATTCACCAACACATCAGCTGCAATCATTCAGGTTAATGCTAATTTTATGGTTGACAAGGACAACTCAAATAGACATGGCTCGGCTCAAAACTTGGGTAATTTTCAGCTGCTGGTGAATTAGGAAAAATATGTGTAATTCTATTCTCCTTTACATTATCTCTCTTGTGCCCCCCCCCCCCC